GATCTGTAAGGGGAGTAAAATGTCCCTTCGGAGGAAGGTGAGACTTTACAAAACTTGCATAAGGCCCGCACACACATAGACACCCTCCAATCCGTACAATCCCGCTTTTGCAGGCTAGCCGTCGGAGCTCCGTGGTTCATGAGGAACGTTAACCTACACGACGACCTGGGCCTCTAATCAATCCGGAAATACATGAAGTCAGCGTCGGAACGGTACTTCGATAAGGCTATGCGTCATGATAATCGCCTTATCGTTGCCGCCGCTGACTACTCCCCGAATCCTGATCACACAGGAGCCAATCACCGTCGACGCCCTAGACACGTCTTTACGGATCCATCAGATCCAATAATCCTTGCATTAGACACCTTTAGCTCTAACACTAGGAGTAGGGACCCCGGTAACCGTGCAACCATACCTAAACATCAGCCCGCTGAGTTTCTCGCCGGATCTTCTCAGCGAATCGCGATTCCGATCCGGTAGTAGATTCATTCACGAATCAGCTATTCTTGAGTTATTAGGTCTCTTTTGGAAATGCTCGGGTAGCTGTTATCAAATCCCACCCCTCCTGGCTGAGCCCTTGCTCGGCCACCTGCCCCGGTAAAACTGGAAAGGCCTCCGGGCCGCCAGTAATCTCTCAAACATAAAAAACCACTATCCTGCAATTAATCCAAATTCTACCCACCTCCAGAGTTTCAGGTCCGTCTGTATATCGATTCGGAGACTGACAAATAAAACCCAAGAAGACAACGTCCACTGTATTTCTTATTATCTGAATAAATGTCCTGGTACGAAACCATAGCTATAAAATTTATGAATTTAAGTAATTACTGGTAGCAGAACGTATTGTGATGCCCGCACGGATACCCCATCTTTACAGCGAAGCAGTCATGCGCTCTGGTTTGGTTGGTGAGATATCCGTTATTGCCAATTAAGCCAACCACCTCAAATCTCAAGCTATGATGACTGAGACCAATACCGTCTTTACCATAAGGGCACACGGGGCCCGTGCCCAGGGCCCCATTTCTCAGGGGGCCCCGAAAGACCGACAATTTCCCTCACACGTTTATTCTCAAAACATTTTTGTCGAGCACATTACACTTTTTTCACAAATCAGTAGTTAGGAGGTATTTAGAAGGCATATACTATGCCTATAATAGAAGATTTTGCTCAACAGAAATCCCGAAAGAAACCGTTATCGAAATCGTAACCAAAAAACCAGCAGCATTCTAATATCATTAATGACATTATATCATACTGTATTTGATTACGTATAATAAATGGTCATACTCAGTAAAAAAATGTTATTATAATTCGCTTTTTTTACTTTCCAAAAGGGCCTCAAATTCTTGTGTGCCCAAGGGCCCCATCCCAGTTTAAGACGTCCCTGACTGAGACCCCAAACCGCAAAACATCAGGGGCGCCAGGATTCCTATCTATATCTATGTCATCTATATAGTCCTATAAAAATATATCCGGCTAACTATAATTAATTTAACTGAATGCTTAAATAAGTAATTTATTATTCTAGCTATAAATCTGTGCCGACTGAAGCGCTGAAAGTTTTTACCAAAAACAATATTGTTAGCCAGAAACTGAATGTTAAAGCTCAACTCAATTCAAACAAACCTCAAACCCCACGCATGAGTTACGGCTTAGACTACATTAAGTCCTTTGTTTTTGCACTCCTCTGTCTTTTCCTAATGAATATAACATTATTTAAATTAGTTCCTAAACATTTATTTTATTATTGAAATAAGAGGACTCCTTTGAACGATCTTTATTAAAAGTCCTTTATTGAATATTTTATGGTAGTTTATTAATAATTCATTAAACAATATTTTTGACAATTTTGGATTTTTACACAAAATAGGTACTTAGGTAGTTCATTTAAACAAGTGCAGGTAATTAGTTTTTTCTTCTAAGTATTTTTATATTACTCTTGAAGTCAGACGCCCGGTGCATTCGTGGGTGGGTAAGTACCACCACCCTGCCTATTTCTGTAGTGAAGCAGTAATGCGTTTCGATTTGAAGGGTGGGGTGGGCTGAAGGTGTCTCAAGGTGGGTGGCGGCATTTACTTTGTAGAAGTCTATGGGCTCCGGTAACCACTCAACACCAGGTGGGCCGTGAGCTCATCCAGACGCCTAAGCAATAAATAAAAAGGACGGGCATCCGGCTCACTTGATCGTAAGCGGCTACCGTCGCCCATGGACTTCAACAATGCCAGGAGCAGAGCCGAGCCGCTGCCTACCGTTAACCTTTAATATTGAATCAGCGCAGGATCGATCTATGTGGCGAGGCTTGGGAAGACCTATGTCCAGTAGTGGCTGCTAGAACAGAATAGAAAAAAAAGTTTTTTTTTAAATAAATCAATAAGTACGGAACTATTTAAACGTTTTTTTAAGCATTTCCAGTAGCCTCGACTCCCGAATTCATACTGGATTGAGACTTCGAATGGTGTCGACTTTTAACAGGCATGTTTTCTTAATGGGGTGTGCGGCATTTGTATACTGGTCGTAACTGTCACCCAATGAAAAAAAAGTAAAATAGCGCTTGCCTTGACTTAATCATAGACAAATTTCGTATACTGGTCGCCACGTTTTGTATTTGATATTTACTTTATTTTCGCATCACTCTTGTCCATAGGCAGTACACTTAATATTTCTCTTGTCAGAGCAGTCGTGGCCATCGGTCAGTATCATTGCTGTAAGCAGATATTGTACGCCAATTCTCCCGTTGTTTACCACAGAGAGATAGTATCATATGCCCAACAATCAAGACTATTGAAAGGAGCTACATTCTTGACCGCAATTTTTCTTTAATACCCAATTACTATGAAACGAATAGAAAAAATAAAACCAGGGCACTGAAACTGCGATACTTTAACACAAATATTTTTGGATATATTGTATGGAAACTAGTGACATCTTTTAGCAGATGCCCCTAAACTTATATGTTGTTAAAATTAACGCTTTTTATTATTGTATAACTAAACACAGAAAATAAAAAATTTATAAATCATACAAGTCTTCATTTGTAATAGACAAATTGATTAAATTTTATCAATTCAAAATTACTAAATTATTCATTAAAAGTAAAATATAGGATAGGTAATATGTTACTGCCATCTACAGGAGCAATGAGAAACTAATCGAAGCGAAGCCATCTAGTGGCCGACCTCCGTAAGCATTTTTGTTAAGCGCTTGAGTTGCTTATCTGTAACTAATTTATATGTATTATCTAGAAATAAAACAAAAGAAATTATACATGCATGGTTTTTATTACACTGTACAATAAATATTGGGCTGTATACAAAATGTAGAGGAATTCCAAAAGATATTGTCAACTCTCTTGCGTACAACAACGGCATCGTAAAAAATATTAACTAACGATACAAAGAACTCGTAAAGTCGTACAACGATTCAACTTTTCGTCGAGAAACAATTCTTGATACTTTAAAGAAGATGACGAATTCTTTAAAACTATAGAGCAAATAAATATAAACGCAACTTATACTGAAACACCGATAATCTCCATCAATCATACTCTTAAACTTTTAGTTTGATGACTGGTTGACACAACATTCCATTAAAACCATTATTCCTGGTAAAATATCGAAATAATCGAATAACTCGACTTGATTCTAAAATAAATAAAAAAATTAAATCGAATAACCAAAATAAAGAACCGCACTATTTAATTTTTGAAGTGTCGTCTTCTATCTTTTTCTCACAGTTATTATCAGTACAACATTTTCAGATTTATCAATTCTTTATAAAAAACGTAGTCATGTGTCATGGTCTCTGTCGAGCACAGAATAACGTGTACAAATCCCGAATTACTAATTGAGCTGTTTCATTTAAATACAAGACTATAATAAAACAAATACAAACTGGACCACTCCAGAGCTTGGTTTATATGTAAAAACTGTATATTTGAAAATGATAAAATGACCCAACCACCTCTGTGTGATTTGTGCGAGTTTTTTAACATTCTCGATAGCGTAAAAGTTAACTCAAATTTGTATGCAGTTAGAACAGCGCCCTTAGCGGCAGACGTAGGCAATAGTCAACGTTAAAAAACTCGCACTAAACACACAGATTACACCACAGATTAAAACACAGATTACACTCACAGATGTAAGTCTTATTCAGTAAAATGAAACAAGCTACTCATACAAAATGTCAAGGCTCTAGATCGTCCGCGAACCTTATGAATACATTGTCCGAGACGATCTAGTCATCTATCTACCTTTTAGAATCCCACCCGCTCCCGACTCATCCCTACAGTCTGGAATCACTACGCTCATCCACTCTACACCAGATCTCTAGACATTTCAGCAACGTACGAATGAAATCAGTAAATATTGATATTTAATAGATAATTACTTTAAAAAATGATTGTGGATCGAACCAACAGCCTTGAACTAACGGGAACGCTGAACCTTGACATCGTGAGCGACTTCGTCTACCTAGGGTCTAACATTAATAACACAGGATCATGCGAAAAAGAGATAAGGAGACGAATAGGGATGGCGAAAAATGCAATGTCCCAGCTGCATAAGATATGGAGAGACCGTAACATCACGCGAAAAACTAAAACCAAATTGGTGAGTTCGCTAGTTTTCTCCATATTCAGTTATGGCGCGGAGACCTAGACAATGAAGAAGGCTGACAGAGACCAACTAGACGCTTGAAATGTGGTGCTGGAGAAAAATGCTACAGATTCCATGGACCGCCTTTCGCACCAACGTGTCTATTCTGAGAGAGCTTCATGTCAAAACCAGACTTTCCACTATATGCCTTCGTAGGGTGCTGGAATTCTTCGGACATATTGCTCGTAAAGAAGGTCATAATCTTGAACAGCTGATGGTGACAAGAGGTAGATGGCAAACGTCCCAGAGGACGCAGTCCCACGAGATGGTCGGACCAAATACGATCTTCTCTAAACATCAACTTCCACAATGCCCTTCATGAAGCTAAGGATCGCAGCAGATGGAGGGAAATCTTACAGGAGAAACTGATGCAGCGGGGGAGTCACGACCCTCAGTAATGAGGAAAACGTCGCGAGGACTTTAAAAAAAAACCAGTTCACTTATTTCCCGATCACTACAACACTTAAATTGAACATCAATCAATTGGCATAATGTCGAACGGTGAGCAAGAATTATAAAGCATTGGTTATCGATAAAGTATGCTAGAAATGAATAAATAGTACATCTCAATATTCCCGTGTAATATTTATTATTTGAGGATACAAATATATTTTAATTATAATTTAATCGAATAACTTATTTTCTCCGGTGAGTATTGAATGTGAATTGAACGTGAAAACACTGAAATCAAACATAAACAACTTAAATTCGAATAAAATCAGCTTACAGCAAAATTGTACTTATTTTTTTTTTAAATATGAATAATTCTAAGCAGAATTTTTTAACATTGATTTTCTACATTTTAAAATGAAAACAAGAACAAATTTACAAAAACGATAAAAATCGATATCGTCGATAAAATAAATCGATTCCTATTACTCTGAAATTACCATGAATTCACAAGATTCTAGTTTCGGACAACAAATAAAAGACATCTTCAAAAATATCAGAATAATCGCTCGACGACAACATAGAAATTGGAAACAAAATATTAATCCACACTTTGGTATCAAGTTGTTAGTATGTTTTTTTTTTAATAAAAAGGAATCATTATGAGACAAATTAAATTATTTTAATCAACTGAAGATATATTCTAAACATTCGAAAAGTCAATGTACATGGCAATCACAATAATCGATTAAAACTGTTGATGATTTTGTGGCAACACCGCCCGCACCACTCAATGGCACTAAACTAAATGCATCAATCACTGTTTTGACGGAAATTAATACACTGAATAACGAATCAGAGTTGATGATAGATGCGAACTAATAATATTCCGGTCAAACAAACATTTGAGGTGGAATCTGGGCTATCTTTACTGAATCTTTTATAAAATTTGTAAGTACTATAAAAGCACCTCTGTAGTAATTGACCCCCTAACAATAATTAAAAGGAATTTTATAAAGGCAGTAAATTAATAAATGTAAGAGAATTTCTTAAATTTAAATATCTCGTTTTATTTTCTTACTATTGTTCGGTAAATTCAAAGAATGGCGTAGAAAAAAATAGAATTTGAATAACAATTAAAAAAAATAAAAATTACAATATGTTTTTGCCTGAATCCTTAGTTTATGGCCCCATTAACGATATAGAAAAAATGCTGGATTCGTATTATTTTTTTTCTTTTCTGGTAGTCTCGATTTCTATAATTTTCAGATAAATTACTATGTACAAAAAAATATCCTAAAAATGTGTCCTGGGTCATTAGAACCAAATACAAAAGTTTAAAATATGGAAATTCAACCCTACAACTATATTGTTATTGTTATGTAACATAGTAATTAGGTGGTTGCTGCAAAGATGAAGTTAACTTTTTAAATTTAAGTTGCTCGCTCAGATTCCAGTTCAAATGCCAGTTTCACTGAACAATTGATATACGACAAATGAACTGCAAAGTATTTACACATAGCCTCGAAGTAACCACATAAAAAAATATCTCCACGTAATAAATAGATACCCATTTTCTTCTCAACTTAAAAAAAAAAACTCGTAAATAAAAATCTAGAATAAATATACTAAACACTTACGAAACTTATCAGTACTAAATGAGTATAATTATTATGATCGAACGTTTTGGGTATTCGATTGTACACGAAGTAAAACATCGATAATTTGTGTATCGATTTTCGAAAAATCATGTAATGGTTTCAAGAAAACACCCGATTAGCTTCTCGATTGAGATAATATGTAACTATGATGTAATAAATCTAATTCATCAAGATCACCAAACAGGGAAAGGAATGAAAAAGTATTTTTAAACAACTGCCCTATTCGCTATACATTTTAAAGATTTTTCGAAACTCTGGAAAATCGATAAGACATGTTTAGCGAATTTTTTTTTTAAAACAACATTGCTCAACACATCCGCGCACGCAATATTCAAACCGCTCAAAAATATACAGTTAAATAATAATAAGAACTATTCATAAAAGTCGCCTAAGAATTTGTGCCCGTTCAAAAGAAAAAAAAAAGATTAAAAAATTTGTACAAAAATATTATACGAGATAAGACGCTAGTGAGATTACACGTTTGCGATTCGTGCCAAAGGACGGAATACTTCGTGAACGTAGAAAAATGTAATAAAAAACATCAAATGAAACATACAAAAAAATTTATCAAGCTTCATGTACTTTAGAGCTGACGAGGTAAATCCGCGATGATCCAACGAAATAAAACGGGAATTCGTTGCTGTTTACAGCCTAATACTTTACACAATTCGATCACAGTGTTTTAAAAAACAAAACATTATTATTCAATGTTTCATTTATATGTACATATTTTATTCCCCACGGGGATCAATAGTATCAAAAAAGTCTTCCGATACAAAGGTACAAATTAGACCTTCGTGGCACCCTATAGAGCAATCTCATTTGTGACTACGACTAAACGAATACAACATTTCAAGCCAAATGTACTAACAACACTAACATCTCCATGTCTTGGCACAGCGTTACTGTGAGCCAATAAATATTGTACAAAAGGAGACTTTATAGCAATGCGCATAAGGTATATTTTTAACTAAAAAATAATTTACATATACAATGGCGATCACTATTAAAAGAATTCAGATACAGTCGTGTATAAATCACATCGAATTCACCGATATATATATTTATTTATATAATAGGTACCGTCGCGTGCAGCGTTTTATAACAAACCTCTATCGGTGTGTGTGTGTATACGAGTATATATTAATTACATACGTAAAATTGTCCAAAACGTGTGTCCATAATAATACAGTTACAGTGTGCAAAGTCTACATTTTTGGTCATAAATATTATGATATACAATTATTCCATTATCAATAATTCTTATAACATAGTTCACCAAATCATACATTTGGTCGATAAATACTTGCCGAGCCACGTGCATCCGTCACTAGTAGGCCTTCGTGGAGGCCCCGCGTTTCTAAAACATCACATTCTTTGTCTTTTGCTACAAATCCAACTATTATGCTTTTAATTTTCTTACACCAAAATTTAAATATTATCGATAAAACACTATCGATATAACCCGATATCGATATTTGCGTTATTGTACTTTCGATATCTCACTAAACAAACATTTAATTGTTTTAGAGAGACTAAACGCACCAATCTAACGTACACTTTTTGTGAATCGATAATCTTCAATATTCATTAATCGATATCGAATCACAGAAAAATCGATATGACAATAAACTTCGACGAAGACGTTCCGATCACAAGCCCGATAGCCAGCGGCCCGAGTGCCACAATCCAACGCTACAACAGATAGTGCGAAACGCGATCACTGCAACATCAGAGATTCAAGATTACGATTTAGGATCGTGTCTTTGACAGAATTGAATACGACCTCGATGTTGTGGGTGTCGATGGCGGTCGTGAAGTGGTGGTACAGCGTCGTTTTCGGTTCGCGCCGAACGTTCGCGAACATGTTGAGCAGGTACATTTGGACGTCGTGCAGGTTGTGCGGGTCGCCCGCGAACTGAGGATAGTACCAGCGGATGTCGGTCTCCTTGCTGGCGACCTTGCGCGCCAACAGATCGGACTTGTTCAGGAAAAGTATTATCGATATCCCCTTGAAGTTGACGTTGTTCACGATCGTATCGAAGATGTTTAACGCCTCCTCGAGCCGGTTCGTTTTCCTGAAACGAACGAAAGAAATCTTACTTAATGGTCGTCAGGTTTGAGCCCCGTGAGCTCACCTACTAGTTAAGGTTACGCTGAAATAGCCTATCAAGGTTTATCAGCTTAGGTAGGAAAAAAATTACTTAATGATTACTGTGATTAAAAAGTGAGTACGTTAATACAGCTATTATAGGGCGGACCGAGTTAAAGGAATAAACTAATGGACATGATGCCTCCGCCATTGGAGTACCCCACTGGAGAGAAACGCGAGTGACAGCGAAATGCATCTACCACGTGTTCACTCTCCCTAGTCGTTTATAGACATGCTACGTCGGTAAGAGTAACGCCACCTATCGCCGAATAATCGAACAAATATCGAAGGATCTAGTAGCACCTAGAACGCTCGAGAAGTACTACGCCATCTATTGTCAGATAGCGGAAATACACAATACTAGACTTTTGTGGAATATTCTAAACGATTCTAGAGATTTCGTCTCGACTATAAAAGCGTTGCAGAGATGGCACGCAGTCAGTTAGTAATCGGAACTACTCGAAGCGAAACAGCGAACGGATCACCTGAAGCGAAGCGGAAGGAGCGAATTGAGAATTTTAAAGTGTTTGTGAAGTCTTCTAAGTGCTAATACAGTGTCAACTTGTAATTCGGTAGAATATTTATTTATCCCGAACCCGAGCGCGTAACAGACCGTAACTCCTCGTCGAGCTCTTCGATCGTCGAAGAGTTTGGACTTGGAGTTAGGGGTTTTTCCCCCTACCTATTCATTGTTAGCCTAAGGGACTATTCCAGCTACCCTTGTACGGGGAAGCTAGTGTTAAACGGTCCCCTGTAACGCGAACTACATATATATTTTTTATTTATTTATTGATACACAAAACAAATTACAATCATTACAGTACATATTAGCTAAATCTTACAAGTAGTACCTAGATCTAATCTGGATTGCAATCTAAATAGTATGTGCACTCAACAAAACCATATTAAAGTGCATAGCTTTGGCTATTGAAAACAACATTGAAATTACAAATATTGATAACTAGCCATTGTTAAATAGGATATCCTTCACACATTTGACAAATCCCCTGAGTCTAGGTATCAAGGTTACCATGACATTTAGCCAAATCATTATACTGTTTGACCATTCTTACCATAGGGTTATAGTATGATATATGATATATTGTAAACATTACATTTAAACGTTGTTTCTATTTAAGTGATAATTTACAATAAACTATTATGTACTTCTGTATTCAATAATTACATTTTACGCAGCTAAAAAATACGAGTAGTAAGCGCTTGCCAGTTTGTACCCGGAGATGTATACATTAATGATAGATTAGCTAATCGACTGAGTTATCGCTGGACGAATTCATATAAATTTTATTACACTAGATAATGATGATGAAGTAAGTACCTTAAATTAGGTGATTACGGGAGTGGATAGAAATTGAAAAAAGACTTGAATGAACTTTGTACGAGAGGATATGCGTAAGAAGAATGCGAGTCTAGAGATGATGTATGATAGATCTGAATGGAGAAAGAGGACATGCTGATTTGACCCTACATAGAGGGATACGGCCAAGAAAAAGGAAGCCCGAAGACATCACATACGTGAATGTCGTCTTAAGACATGAGACCGATGTTTCGTTTTTATTTATTTATTATTATTACTTATTTATTTTATTTTATTGCATTATGGATATTCCGCGCTTGAATCCGAAACGTATCACTGCTTCGCTACAGATATAGCTCGGAGGGACGGAGAAAGAAAGAGAGAGAGTGGAAGACAGAAAGGGAGAGAGAATGCTTCATTGTGCACAAGATGAAAAAAATATGCGAAACATTAAATACATAAAAGCACAATTGGCAATCTTATCGCTAAGAGCGATCCCATCCAGAGAGCCATCAGGTGGCGAAGAATCATCAGGAAACAAATGACACGCTTATACATTAATTAAAAGTATGTTTCACATGTCTTGATACTCATACTTTTGACTGTTAGGTAAACGTACATTTGGTACATTATGATGAAGCACGCCGCGAGCTATGGCCGTTAATATATGTACATTGATAGGTAAGTCCTTGCTTGCCCGCTACTAGTGAACTCATAAAACCATTTTAAATAGACAACATTCAACTGAACCCCAATATTACCGAATAACCAAACAATTTCACCATCGAACGTTACGATTAATGATAGTCGATACATTCATTCGTCAAACCGCTAACCGAATCACGGACACATCAATGAATCAAGACTTATAATTAGCGAACGTTAACGCCATAAATGTATTAACGACATCATAAAAAAAAACGCTTTTGAGGGAGCTCATAAAATTGTGATATCGGTGTATTTTTTTAGTGGCGCTTGCTTCCCGGCTTTGCCATTTTCCGTACACAGTCTTAACCGCTTTTTAACCTCCTTTGTTGTTTGGGATGAATGAACAATCTTACGGTACACCTGTGTGCTTAGTGCGAGTTTTTTAACGGTCTCGATAGCGTAAAGGTTAACGCAATTTTGTATGGAGTTGGAACGTCTGCCTGTTTTGCCGGTAGGGGCGCTGTTCCGACTGCCTACAATTTGAATTAACTTCTACGCGATCCAGAACGTTAAAAAACTGGCACTAAGCACACTGGTCTTAAATCGTTATTGAACCCTATCAACGTAATAGACTTAAATGCCACAGCCCACCTTGGTACAAGAGTTCCAAGTCCTAATTTCGTTTTATATTACAACTTGTGCGGAGTAACGAGTGGGTGAGTCTAAAAGGCAAGTCGTATCACGACTATTTATTGTGTATGCGTCCGAATGCCGTGCCAGACTCCGATGTTCTGACTTGACGTTGACACGAGCCAGCACAAGCTAAAAGATATCTCCAATGCAAAACGTTTCGGGTAGGTACCACCGCCCAGCCAATTTGCGCCGTGAAGCAGTAATGCGTTTCTGTTTGAAGGGTGGGGTAGCCGTTGTAACTATACTGAGACCTTACAACTTATATCTCAAGGTACCCACCCACTCTACTCTCTCTCATATCGTCATTCACACACTCTATGTCTTCTTCGGTCGACCTCTTCCCCCTCTACCTTGGACTACCATTTCCATGCATCTTCTCTCTACGCATCACATGTCCATACCTCGCTAACCGTCCGCTCTTTAATTTGTAACTATACTTGAGACCTTATATACGAGTATCTCAAGGTGGGTGGCGCATTTACGTGGTAGATGTCTATGGGCTCCAGTAACCACTTAACACCAGGTGGACTGTGTGCTCGTCCACTTATCTTAGCAATAAATAAATAAAACGTTACTCACCTGTCTTCAGATAACACCTGATCGAATTCGGACGACGAGACAAGGAACAGTATCGACGTAACCGAATCGAAACACTGAGTCCACTTCTGCCTCTGGGTCCGCTGGCCCCCCACGTCGACGAACACGAAAGGAACGTTGTTTATGTTTATCGTGCACTCCGTTATGCCTTTCGTTGCCTTCCGACAGTGCAAGATGTCCTGGTGGGACGGCACGTAGTCCGGCCGAGCGATCCTCTCCAGTTCATCGAAGAAGTAACTCACCGAATCACTCTGGAATCCGAGAAGATTTTCATTAATTACTAATGAGACAAAACACGAGATATAACTCGCCCTTTACGTACATTATTTCGCACCTTTAGAATTAGACGAGACCCATTTCGAAATTTTTGGGTTTCATCTCTAATTCAAAAATGGACCTAAAACGAGCCTTTTCAGAGACTCTTAGTAATCAAATGACCAGAAGTAGCTTATAAAGGGACAAAGCTATCCACCCGTCTCTTTCACTCCGTCCCCTTCCTATACGTTTGTTCAGTTTGAGAACTTTAATCGTTGTTTTCCAAAAAACGAATTTTTTGAGTTGGGTCTTTATAATTCAAAAGGTGCGAATTTTGATCAATCGGTAACTGTATAAGCAAGTACTTTCGAGTACACGTTTCGGAGAGTCGCCGTGCTTTTGGAAAAATAACTAAATTAAAATTATAAAGACGTAGAACGTAAATCCCATATCGTCTTCTCGCATTAAAACTGTATAATCTTAAAACTTACTAATTTTACAGGTGACTGCTTTAAAGGTTTAACATGTGATATTTTTAATATTAATCATCTTGCCCAACATTTTTATTTTATTATAGTTATTTATTATAGATAGTTATATTATCTATCTTTTAAAGTAAGATAAAATTAGGTATTAATTTTGTTAATAGTAGTCAAAATATAAGTAAACTAAAAAATAAAATAAAACTAACCTACGCTTTTTTAACAGTATTTATGAGAAAAATACTGGTGATGCCAAATGATTCCGCATATTAACTCAATTTCAAATATTTTTGGAAATTGTACACTTTTAATGCGAAAAGACGATATGTGAACGCCCCTTACAAAGGTTACATTATCGCATTTTTTAAACTGCACAATAACAATTTAAAAAATCCAAATGTGTGAACTATCTCCCTCCGTATAAATTGAACGTAGAGCGCGTTTACTTACACGCATATCTTGGTTCACGAAACAAAATTTATCAATCGCTCCTCCGTAAAGTAAAATAGCTTTTATAAACATTGTTCACGCTAAAACAAACGTCCTTATTCGACGTCGAGAACAGCGAAACGAATTATTAAGTTGATCTATAAATAGAACGGTATTATTGATCATACTCCAGATTGTTCAGACACCAGCCGATTCTCTAGACCAGCCATTCCCAAAGTGGCCGATAACGCCCCCTTGTGGGCGCTGCAGGCTTAAAAGGGGGGCGGTAAGAGACCCAACAAAAAAAGGGGGCGTTGTGTAGTGGCTTGGGAGGCGATTTGCAATTTCATTTAGGAGGACTCCTAGACACCGATTGAGCTCTCACTATAGTGGTTTTTAAGTAGGTGAAAAAATGGGGGCGCTAAAAAATTATTTATTCTCAAAGTGGGCAGCAGACAAAATAAGTTTGAGTGCCCCTGCTCTAGACGAAGACGACGAAAAAAACAAAAATATCGTATAGACTTTATACTATAGAGAAAACGGGTCCTTTCGCGTGGCACAAAAGACGATACAGAGGCCGGTAATCGTATTATTCCTAGATAAGGTCCGTCAATAATGAGGTCAATCCAATTGGTCCGGTTTCTGACCTAATAATGCGATCTGAGAATTGGCTTCCTGAACGAGCGACGACATTTGAGAACGTAACATAAAAGCAAGTTAGTAAAAGCACACATTTACCGTCATTGTATAACAGAGTATTATATTTCATATTCTGTCTTGTACGTAAAATGTGGGTCGTTACGGTTTTGTAATCGGTTTTCGTACAGCTCCGTATCACGCATAGCACGTACATAGCAACGAGATTATATATATGTGGTCTCTTTGGCGAAATGCGACTCCTTTACTTTAAAACGAGGTCTAGGGAGTGGCGGTCACGGCAGTGCATTGGTAATTCAACAGAACATTAATGGACAACTTTAAATTATTTAATTTTAATGAGACCATAAACTGCTTAACCACTTTTTATAGCTTAGATGGGTGGACGAGCTCACAGCTCATCTGGTGTTAAGTGGTTACCGGAGCCCATAGACATCTACAACGTAAATGCACCACCCACATTGAAATATAAGTTCTAAGGTCTCAATATAGTTACAACAGATGCCCCACCCTTCAAACCGAAACGGATTACTGCTTCACGGCAGAATTAGGCAGGGTGGTGGTACCTACCCGTGCGGACTCACAAGAGGTCCTACCACCAGTAATTACACAAATTATAATTTTGCGGGTTTGATTTTTATTACACGATGTTATTCCTTCACTGTGGAAGTCAATCGTGAACATTTGTTAAATACGTATTTCATTAGAAAAATTTGTACCCGCCTGCGGGATTCGAACACCATTGCATCGCTACATACGAATGCATCGGACGTCTTATCCTTTAGGCCACGATGACTAACTGTACGTACATATTATTAACATTTCATTTACAAATTTTAAACCTTATTCGTTAGAGGTCAAAGTTCATTATATACACAAATATACATACGCTAAATCAGTTAACAGGTGAATCAACATGCAATTACAAATTCGACTTTTAAATAAATAAACACAATGGACATTGGAGACACTTTTGCGGAATTTGTTTTTAGTACATATGCGAAAACATTTCGGTGCATTGTCCTGCATTATATGTATGGTATCTATGACTATGTATTTATAAATTTGCATCAAAAAATAATTTATCCAATATATTACGTTGTTGTTGAATTCTTAGGGTACCCCACTGGTACATAGGGCCCTCACAAGTTGTCTCCACTTTACCCTGTCTTGCGCTTCATATATATTATGTAACTAATCTTTTTTTTTATTGTCTGAGCAGTCAGGGGAGTATACGGCCCACCCGATGGTCAGTGGTTACAGTCACTCGTTGACGTCAGCAATGCCAGGGACAGAGCCAAGCCGCTGCCTACCGCTTAATCTCCACAGGCCTCGTTTGAAGAAGGATATATTGTCATAGCACTCGGGAAACACCGTGGAGGGGAGCTCATTCCAAAGCCTATGCGTTTGGTTTGAAGCTTAAAATCGTTATATTCAAATACTAGCGACCCGCCCTCGCTTCGCTTCGGAAACTGTAATTTATTATTGATTTCTCCACTATTTAATGGATGTTATTATACATATAAACCTTCCTCTTCAATCACTCTATCTATTAAAAAAAACCGCATCAAAATCCGTTGCGTAGTTTTAAAGATTTAAGCATACATAGGGACAGACAGATATAGGGACAGAGAAAGCGACTTTGTTTTATACTATGTAGTGATTTAGCGCCTCTGATCATTACAGACAAAAAATACAGATTCACTAATTTAATTTTATAAATTCAATTACAATATTTACGTACATATATCTAAAATGTGATGCAATTATTCTCGTAATTATAGATAGCAGTGATTGATCACAATAAGATAGAGCTTCTATTCAGTGAAACTTATGAAACACCACGTCACGTCAACACGTGAATGACGCAATACAATAATGCGAGCGAACACGTAAACTACATACTAGTAGTTATTCTGTGAGTTATGCAAATTGCGATCACTCGAGGCCAAATGAAAAAAAAAAAACACAACGTTCTTAGTCTCATTTTAAAAGATAGCCAAGGGCGCAGTGTCGGATTAAGAAAGAGCAGAAACCAAAACAAAACCAGACGTGTTATTAGGCCCGAGCGGAACTAGGTATTTAGCCGTATTAAAATTTTAACTCCGCGATAAGACGGCTCAGGTCAATTCGGCGGTTTCTCAATGAATGAGTTGGTTTTTACGGTCAGCAACGCGGAACAAAGACTGGTTGCATTCACGAGGCATGCATTCGGTTTTCCCGACGGTAAAATGTCGTTTTAGTTTAATAGTTTTTGACTTAAAACGCAATTATCAATACAATAGAAGAAAAAAATTGATCTAAAATAATTTTGCATGTATATGAATATACAATCCACGCAGAATCGTTATTACATGGAAAAATATTAACTATGTTTTTTTGTATTACGCAGAAATTTCTCTTACAGATACCTGCCTCGGTGTACTGTTTATTTATTATATCTAGCTGGCGGCGAGGTAATGGATTAGAGGAAATACGAAGTTTGAACGCCTAAGTATAGACTATAGAAAACCTAGATGTTTCATTGAAAAACATTGAATACGTGCTGGTTTAAAAAAAAAAAAGTCATTAACGAAATGAGAACGGTTTACTTAGAGTGTATTTATTACCAGCGAGGCTATTGCGTATGAATCGATACCGGTAATTAAACCCTTTGCACTACAAAGGTTTTACTATTTCACACTCGGCGTGAAGATAATGAGATCGACAGGGAGCATCGTTCAAAATCATTCACGAGCCGCGCGTGAAAACATGATAAACAAAACTATATCTGTTCTTTTAATGAAATCAATTTATCGCGTACGATTGTGTGAAACGCTTTTGTGTTGGCAAATCACATACTTAAGGTATTGCGTCGATCAATGATTCACGGCGGAACACAGGTGTTTATAAAAACAAAAAAATTAAATAAAAAAAAAAAGATATGACGTACATACGTTTTACAGTTCGTCAGTTGGCTGTCAGCGTCACGATCGCGGTTTTAGTGTCCATATACATTACATAGTTATAATGACGAATTACACAAAACGAAAAATAATAGGCAAGCCATTTTGCGGTAGGCAGCGGCTTGGCTCCACTCACCATCAGGTGGTCAGTACGCTCGTCTGCCTACAAGGGCAATAAAAAAAAATTTATATAGCCGGAAATATAGAGAAGTCAACGTCGGTCTACCCAAACACGAGACATTGACGTGTCTGCAACAATGATCATTAAAACGTCCCACTGACAATCTATGGACCATTTACTAATTAAACCTCAAGATGGAAATCGCGGAATTTACCGGCGGTGTACGTTCTCGCAATCTTCGACAGGCTCCTGGGCGGATTATGGTACTTGCAGGAATGTGGACCGACAGCACTTGTGTTAATATGCAGCGTGACATGACGTCGCCGATAGGGAAAGCCCGACATGGCAAACGTTGAGTATTA